CCGGTGCCGCCGCCGCCATTGGCCTGCAGTGCCAGAGAGCCGGTCCGCATTAGCCGAGGCGGCGGCGGTGCTGCTGGACCCACCATTGCCGCCATCCCACTCCCACCGCTATCCGCCGGCCATGGTACCACAGGCCCCGAAGGCACAGAGGCAGTTGTCAGAGGCAACGGAAGCGACCCATGGGACATAAGCCCCGGTTGCAGAGGCTGCATCCCCATTCCGACCCCCACCGGCAGCTGCGGGACAGGCAAGCTGGGCAAGCCAGGAAGCATGCCGATAGGCGAGGGCATCGACGTGATGACGCCTTGCTGCGCGGCGGCGGCCAAGGCTAGGGCCGGCGGCGGAGCCGTCGGGCCCGGCGGCGGAAGTGGCGGCGGCTGCGGCTGTGCCAGCTGCTGTTGTAGCTGCTTCACGCCGCCTAATGCGAACATGGGGTCCGGAGCAGACGTCATGGGAGGCACTTGCTGGGGAGATGACGGCGCCGGCGACCGCGGGCCCGCCGTGCCGTACAAACGCACCAGCTCGGCCAATAGTACCCATCGCGGCCCAGCGTCGCCGCTTCCATCGCTAGCGCCGCCACCATCCTCATCCCCGCCGGCATCAGCCGCGCCGCTGCTACGGCGGACTAGCGCCAACTCTGCCGTCAGCAGCGTATAGCTGTCAATCTGACCGGTATCCAACCAGGATAGCAGCTCCTGGAATGCATACGGACCTCTAGATCGCCCGCCTGACGTGTAGCTCCATACCTTGGCGTCCCGCGCCGGCGGCTGCACGCCCTGAAGAGATACCCACGCAGATTGGTCGCTGCTGCCGCCAGGCGGCAGCGCCGCCGCCCTCCGCCGCTCGCTGGCTTCGTGTACTGCGCCCTCCCACTCCGCCACGACCTCGGTTGCCGCCATAGCGGCGCCCTGCGCGGCAGCAGTCGCAACGGGCACACCAGCCAGCGCCGCCGGCACCAGCAGCGCGTCCGGAGCCAGCCATCCCTCGATGAGGTACGACCGTACGGTAGTAGGCGTGAGACCGGCCTCCGCGGCCCCGGAACCAGACCCCGCCGGCAGCCATCGCTTTGCCGCCAAGGACTCCGCGAGGGCACCGAATTCAGCTGCCTGGATCTCCAAACAAATGGAGCGCCCCTACGAGCCGGGTAGTAAAAGGAACCATATGGAGGGGTAGGGGGCATGAATCGCATCAAGCGCAGAAGGACCTGGAGGAAATGCCTTAGTACTGTTAACATTTCGGCATTGGCAGTTCTTGGAGTGAAATGCCACGGAGCCTCCAATCCGCCCGGGCATCATGCCGGAAATGTATGAGCGGCAAGAGAAGGCAACGGCGGCCAAGTAAAGAGGAATCAAAGATGCGCTCGTCGATGGAGTGTACATGCACTATTCTCTCGAGCGGAGCGAAGGATACACATAAATGAAGCAAAGGAAAGGACGACGCCGCGCCACCGACGCCTTCTGCGCCACGTGAATCAGGGGCAGCACGGATGGCAAAGTACAGTACATAGAAGTGCAGTAACAGTAACGGAGCGCACAGATGGGGAAAGAGGAGGATAAAGCGCCAAATGACGAGAGGCGGTTTGGTAGCGGCGATGTCTACTCTTGCAAACACGCACACCGCGGCCGCGGGCCACAGCAGCAGCAGCGGCACCGGAAGCAACGCACGCCATCCTCATCCAAACTGCCGACCAACTGACACCGGCCGCGCACCAGTTCTCGCCTGACTCGGCATGCCATGGGTGAGATGCCACTCAGCGGCAACAAGAAGACCCCACGACAGTCAAACCCGGCACCTCCGAACGCCAAAACCCTCTCCTCACCCCGTACACCTTTTTACATGGCCTGCTGTACGCTAGCCCTGGGGCCCGCTCCGGAGCCGTGCATGAATACAACTTGCTGTGCCTGAGAATCCACATTACGTAAAGCAGACATTCCGCCCAAGCACCACCACCCCACATGACCAAAACCACCCCCAAAAGAACCACCAAACGCTGCAACTTGACCCCATCCCTATCCAGCCTCACTACAACCATAACCATAACCATCGCCACCACCACCTTCACCTACCGCTGATCCTAAACGCTATGGTAAGCCACTAGTTGCCACCGGTGTAAAGGAGGAGCATGAGCCCAAGCGAGCCACCGGAGGACGACACTTTTGGACGAGTACAACGCGAACCGGATGCGGACAATCAATACCCTCCCACGCTTCCACGCATCCAACCAATCCAGCAACAAGTCCTACAAAGAGCGCGAAACCAGCGCTTCAAATAGAGCGCATAGAGGAAGAGAAAGGCGATGATGATTTCTGTAGAGGTGACGGAACTCCAGGACAACCAAGCTTAAGCCTCCTTCACCGTGTCAGTAACACAGTACCGCTGCAGGTCCCCAGACCACCTGGCCCAGCATGCACATGGGAGCTCATGGGCATTGACTCTGTCAAGAGCGGAATGACCCAAATGCGCCACGACTAGTCACCCCGAACCATCACCCGGGCACAACAAAGAGACCTTATCCGGATGCGTAAAGGTCATAACAAACAACAAATTTATCATTACACACGGCCCCAAAGGGTAAACCTCTTCGTGTGCCGGGCCACGACCTATAACAGTACAGATCATGGGCTTTATGGATCCTTTCAAACCCATCTACTCTTCCCTGCATGCCATGCCCCAAAGCCCCTCTCGCTCTGTGTGCCACTCACCCCTCGCCACCCGCACTGCACACGGCATGTGTTGCCCAGCCTTCCCCTGGGTCACCCGCTGTGTCACACCCACACCCCCACAACGTTCCTGTAGGGAGCCAAGAGGCCTCCTCCCTCTTGGCCTTCTCTCTCTTAGTTCCAAGTAACCCTCCTCACCCGTTCATCCCTTTCCTGAACCCCTTTATCCTTTTCCCTCTTAATAAAATCCTTTCTCCTTCCTGAAAAGCTCTGGGTCAGTGCCTTTGGTCTTACCTCCTCCAGAAGCTTCCAAACCGAGCTCTCCAAAGCCGCCAATCGCTCACGCAGTGTGTTCCTCTCCAGCACGCAGCCGCGCAACGGCGTCGCTGCAATAGCGTCCACAAACGGAACGCTCTCGCCGCTCTCGCTGCTCTCCACGCGCATGTGCGGGGAGCCCTTCAGCAGCCGCATCAGCTGCAGTAAGCTGTATGGACCGCAAATGACGTCGTTCTCGTCCAAATACGACCACACGACAGCCTGCAGCATTGGCAGCTGCTCCGCCCGACGCAACACCGCAATGGCTTCCTGCAAGTCACGTTCCGTACGGCACACCGCGTCGTCCTGGATTGCGAGTGCCACTCGGTTTTGCTCCAGGCGGCGGCAAAACCCAGCTATGACATCATCGGGCAGGCGGCGCGCCGCAGGTGGCGGCAATGGAATGCTGGGCGGCAGCACACCTGGCGGCAGAGACGCCAGGAGGTCCTGACGCACTTGCCAAAAGAGTGAATGCTGCGGCTGTGGCTGCTGCGGGCACTGCTGCAGAGCAATCTGTGGCTGCGGCTGCTGCAAAGCGAGCTGCGGCTGTGGCGCCAACGGTGGGTGGGAAAGCGATGGGCGCTGTGGTAGAACGTTGTGGTACTGCGCCTGCTGTAGGTTGTGCATATGGTGCGGAGGTGGTTGTGGTAAACTGGCGGAGGTCAGCGGGACGGGCGGTGGCGGGGGATGTGTCGACGCTAAGGGCGGCAACGGCGGCGGCTGTGGTGGCTGGGGCGCCACGGGCGGCCCGGGGCCCCATGGCCCTCCTCGTTGCTGCTGTTGCTGCTGCAGGGTGATAAAGGCTGGTACTGGGCCCGCCGCGACGCCTACTGCGGGCGTATGCCCAGGTGCAAGCGGCGGTGCGTGCGCGGCCACGCCTGCAGGAGCATGCAAGACCGAGACTGCAGAAGCTAGCTGTGTCGTTGAATATGACGTGGATGCGGCATAGTGGCTTTGCAGCCTGTCCTGAAGCGCGCAGTCCTGTGCAACAAAGACGGGCCCCACTGCTGCCCCGCCAGCTGAGACGTTCGGGGCAGCAGTCGGCGGCATAAACGGCGGCCCTGCCGTGCCAAGAGGATGGCAATGCAAGCTGTTGCTGCGCGTCAAGCCTGCCGGCTGCATGCTGCGCAGAGGCCGGTTGGCGTTGTGATGCCTGCTAGGATGACCGAACCTTGACTGGTCGCGCCGCGGCTGCGCGTCCTTCGCGCGCGGCTGCACAGCCTGTTCCCGCCACCCACGCTAGGACTGCCCCGCCCAGGTGCGGCTGGTCTGCGGAGCTGCACACCGGTCGAGCAGCAGCGCGCCGAGGCGGCCCCAAGCATTGCTGCCGGTTCAAGCTGCCAGCGACCGGCCTCAAGCACTGGCACGGCTGATCTGAGTAGGCTCTCTCCTCACTGCCTCCAGCTGCCACACACTCACTGCACACAGCAAAGAAGAGTCGTCGGAGTTAAGGACAGTCCAACCTGCAATTTAGCCAAGGGTCATTTTGTTTCGCTACTCCAGAAGGCTCAGAGCCTGACAAAGCCTTGTGAAAACTAGGGAGCACGGCATAAGCACCAAGCCATCAACCAGATTACGTTGTCCAATTCGCTGGCACAGAGAGAAAATGCTAGTTGGCCATTAACAAATTATCTACAAGATATGATGACTTCGCACACCTTGTGGCCGTGATGCGCGATAAACTAGTCAGCGGGAGAGGCTCAAGGACACATAGAGTTTACTTTTTACACAGGTTGCGAGAATAGCTCTTCCGCGTGTCCAAGTATGTAACACAGGTGCTAGAGTAAAGCAGGAATTTGCAGGCATCGTGGAAAGTTGCCTCAGGGCCTGGCTCCAGGGTGGCGCACTAGTGCAAGGAGTTTCTCGGTTGCCCGGTCCCCTACCAATGCCTGACCTTACGTATTCAGTTTTGAAGACAATAAACATCAACTGCTGAGGTTACCTAGCAAGACGTTTGGCGGACTTTTGACAATGCTAAAATCGGACGTCACCTAAAAGTTGACAGGCATGTAGCATGGGCTTGATATGGCAGTTTACCTGGTCTCTGTGCGGCTCCCGACTGGGGATGGCGTCTACCAGGGGGTGACCCTAGAGCCCTATGTGCTGGTCAAGCGAGGCGAGGCTACACTCAATGCGGAGGACCTGCCGGAGGAGGGTGCTCCGGAGGGACAATTTCAGCTGCGACATCGGTGGTATCGCAGCACGGTGCCTCGTGGCGGGGCTGTCTGCAGCGTGCACCCCGACAAGGAAGCCGTTTTGCAGTGCGTAATATGCCTCAAGTGCCGGGTGCCAACCCACTTGAGCTATCACTGCACTGTGGAATGCTTCAAAAGCCATTGGCATCTGCACAAAGAGTACCACAAACAGCAGCCTGCGAATGGAGGTGCGCGCTTGGCTTTTTGTTGCAAGTTCCGTTCTCAGAATGGCGCGGGGGTGTGTAACGATGTTGCCTTCTTACTCTTTGCCATCGTGGGTGCGTAAAATTTTGCCCTATTAGGCGCGCTGGAAAACGGAGTTGATGGGGCAGCCAAGGGCGCGCACGGCACCAGCACCAGCGGATTGGAGAGCTGGATCGAGGTGCGGCAACCGTCCGCGCCAAGTACATTGTTTTGTTTGCCTATGATCACACTTGCTTAATCGCAAATAAGATGCTTCAAATTGGATGTTGCTGTCGAGCCTACGAGTTCACGGTCACAACATCCTTGGCATACATCGCACAGGTCGGCCGGAGCCGGTCTTACACGCCTACCTCCGACGACGTGGGTTACGTGCTGAAATTTGAGGTATCAGTGATCGATAAGCTACACCCATACGCAGCGGACATGGGGAGGGCGCACTCGCAGTCGGTGTGCTCTGCGCGCGTGCGGCCAGCCCCCAACCCCCCTGTGCGGTCCATGGTCCAAATGGTGCCGCCATCGCAGCAGTCAAACGTCGGCAGGTTCACCATCCTGACCTACAACCTTCTTGCCGACCTGTATGCAAAGGTGATTCATCTGCCGCCGGTTGGGGAAGCTGGGGGGCCGTGCGACTGGGGGTACGCGACGCGAAGTTGGGATCTTGGTAGTGCAGTGCAACTGACGGTTAGGGCCTCAATAAATTCTTGCACACGATGTGATCCACATCGTTAATATCCAAAGCGTCTGTCCTCGGGATGTTTCATCATCTTGCTGGTCGTTTCCGCTGTGCGCGTGGTGACAGCTGTCCAAAGGCCTTACGCACTGCCAACGCCGCCCGCCCACTGGCATGACGCCGCCTGCCGCCAGGCCGACTGCTCGAACACGTGCCCAGCCTGGTGCTTGCACTGGCATTACCGGAAACGTAACCTGCTGCGGGAATTGCTGTCCCACAAGGCGGACATTCTGTGCCTGCAAGAGGTGCAGAGCGACCACTACCTTGACTTCTGGGCACCCGAGCTGCAGCGTGCCGGGTATGTGGCTATCTACAAGAAGAAGACCACGGAGATTTACACCGATAACAAATACGCCATCGACGGCTGCGCCACCTTTTTCCGCCGCGATCGGTGGGTTTCCTTGGGGGCCTTGGCACGGGCAGTCTGGTTGGGATTAGGGGTTTAAGGTTGAGGGCCGAGGGTTGGTGGGAGGGATTGGAGGGTCTCTCTGTACGTGCGGCTATCACTAGTCTGGGCACGCATTACGCCGCTTCCATGCGCTCGGGCACCTGTGTACCCATATAGTTGCTTGCATGACGGCCACCAGGCTGCCACCACACAAACCGCACCATTGTTGCTACCACCACAGAATAGATCCTAGCATAGGCAAAGGGTTGTTACGGTAGGTAGCTACAATGCAATGCCATGCAGCCGCAACACCGGCTAGTAATAATGGCAGGTAACCAACACGGCATAGCGACACGGCTGCGTTGCCACACGTGTCTGAGTCCAGGTTTTCGCTGGTGAAGAAATACGAGGTCGAGTTCAACAAAGCGGCCCTATCGCTGGCGGAGGGAATGACCAATCCGCAGCAGAAAAAGGCGGCTCTGAACCGGTTGCTCAAGGTATGAGCTCATTCGGGCCGGTTCGTGCAGGGCGCCGGGTTGAATCCATCCAATCTTCTGGCCCCCGAGCGCGTGTAGTAGGGGCAGACAGAGGGGCAGAGCGTTGGAAGCAGGGGCGGGCCCTTGGGCAGCTAGTCGGCCGGCGCAGGGGACTGCATGGGATCCATCTTGCCGATGGAGGGAGGGAGGGGGGGATAATCGCCCGTTGGAGCGGCAATTGAGTGCAATTGATGCGCAGCAGCGACCATATGCGGAACCCGGCTTTGCTCCTTGATGCACCTGGTATTCTGGCAATAGCTGGAATGCTAGATGTGACAATGTTGCGAGCGGGTGTAATGAATGTGAAACGAAATGGCATCGTGGCACACAACGGCACTTGAGCAGTCCCGCACCTGAGCGTTCTAAAACTCATAGTGGCGGTCACTGCACATCAGCCATGGGAATTCTAGTAGCCAACGCCAGAGCAGCGTTGAGGGAGACCTCTGGTCGGCATCTAGGGTCACGGCAGATCCGCGTTCTCGGCGAGACTGGATAGATGACTTTTACAGCTTTGCCTAGTGGTGCCGCAGTCCTGCCCGTGCCTTGCCTTGCACTAATCGCCGACCTCTCAGTGACATGGTGGTCTGCCGCACCGTGTGCCTCATGTCCCCGTCACACGTCTTGGGGCCTCAGCTCCTGGAAGGGAAATGGGAGACGATGGCGGGGTTACACTTGTCAAGGCAGCCATTTTCCTCCCCGTCAGCGTTCCACTCCAGTGCGGATGCCCCACCTTTCACGTTAACATCAGCAGCTTTCTGAAGGCACCCAATTACGGTCTTGTGTTCTGTCTTGCGGCGGCCGTGTGTGCTGTTTGCTGCCTTTTAAATGCTTTGTTGCTGTTCTTGTAGGACAACGTGGCCCTGATTGCGGTGCTGGAGGCCATTGAGCCGGGTACGCCGGATGCGGGGACGCGCCGCACACTCATCTGTGTGGCCAACACGCACATCCACGCCAATCCGGAACTCAACGACGTCAAGATCTGGCAGGTACACACGCTGCTGAAGGGCCTGGAGAAGATCGCTGCCAGGTACGATTGACCGGCTGTGGCCATCCCCCCACCCACCACCCATGAAGGGAATTTGCTGGGAAGTAGGGATTAAGGTGGTGGGGCCAGGCAAAGGAAACCATGTAGTAGTGGATGAGGTGGATGTAGTAGTGGTTGAGAAACGCCATGAAATGGCTATGGAGGACAACGCGGGGTGGGGTGGGGCTTTACATCCACGTATACCACGTAACTTGATGCCGGAGGATGTAAGTTCGGAGACCGTAAGAGAAACAGTAAGAGATCTCTATTTAGGAGTGATTAAACCTCGGGGATTAAGGGCGGGCGGACGGACGGAGTGAACCTTATGTGTGATTGTGAATGAAACAGCGGTGTCGGTGGGGTGGGAACAGGGAGGCAGTTTCAGGCAATCGGACTGAGATTCTTGAGCTGCCTTGCCATGTGATTATCAGACACCCAGATATCCTACGGGGCTTCATAGACCGGCTGCGTTAGGTTTTTCGCAAGGTTACCAGGGGGCAGATGCACAGCGCGGGGAGAGAGCACCGGGCGCAGGGTATAGTGGCGCCCTGTCCTACACGTGCAAGTCTCCTAGGCTGAGGTAGAGCACCATGCTGGCGCTCCAACGGCACAAAGCCGCGCCCGCATGCTTTTCTTTTTTAAACACACGCTGGTGATTTGATAACGTGTTCGTGCAAGCGCGTGTTCGTGCAAGCGGAGGTCCTTCTTCGGCTCAGCTCTTTGGGTGCGTCTGCTGGCTGATCAGGAGGTGCAGGAGCTGCACCTGTGGGACATACGCAAGAGGGGGGGGGGCAAGCAGGAGGTGGCCAGCTGCGGCAGTCGTTGCATCAGCAATACAGAATAGCAGCGTCAAGGACGCTAAATCGATAGCGGACCTTATTGTTCAGACTAAAACTGTGTATATGGGTATTATGTCCATTTTCTAGGTGGGCGCTGTCAGCCGGCGACAACGTTAACTCTTGTCGCTCGGTCTTTTTTTGTATTAAACTTTGATCCCTCTTTCGTCGACTGCCCTTTTCCCACCGTAGCGCGGACATCCCCATGCTGGTCGCGGGAGACTTCAACAGCATACCGGGCAGTCCAGCACACTGCTTGCTGGTGAACGGCAAAATTGATGCGAGCATGATGGTGGGTGTGGGACGTTGGAATGAGGACGGATGGTTGGAACGGGGCTGGAACGGTAAATGGCGCGCGCTGAATGCGGCCAGTTAGCTATTTGGATGCCTCCGCGATGAGGTTCTTAGTTTGCTGTTTGCTGGGATGGCCAAGGACTTCAACGGCAAGGGAGAATGAACAAAGCGCGTGGCGGAAGCTGCGTTTGTTTGGTTTGGCTTCAACTTGCTATTCTTGCTGACTGGTCCCCGTGTCGTACGTGGTTTTGGCCTCTGCCACCTGCAACCGCGCAGGACGCGGCCAACGACCCTCTGCATCTGCTGAAGGACCAAAAGATGTCGCACTCGGTAAGGGGGCGGCTCAGGAACGAGGAAGAGAAGCACCACCGAACCGACAGGGCGGGGGCTAAGGGGGGGTTTCATGTGGCCGAATTATTGTGAGGACGGCGGGTCCATATGCCATCATTAGCGGTCTTGAAATGGGGACGCTATGCAAGCCTGCAAGGGAATGAGGACGGTGATCCTGAGTGTGAGTAAAGCTAGTTGACGGCTGGCTGGGAAGCCTCGTTCTAGGTGCCAGGAGGAAAACGGTGAAGGGCCGTGTGCCGTGGCGTGTCCAGGAGGAGTCCGGAGCCTCGTTCATTTTACGCAGCTTGCTATGAAAGCGATTTTTGGTTAGAACCTGCTGGAGCTTTGGGATTGTTGTTGTTGTTGTTGTCCGGAAAGGGTTCCTGACTGCCTCTCTCCAAAACCAGGGGTTTTATACCTTATGGGCGCTTGCATGTCTGGCTTCAACGATGCGGCCCAAATTAATAAGGCTGCATCTCGTCACCCATCTCGTCGATTAACCCTATCGCCACCGTTCCAATCCTTGAAGACCTTTTACCATGCATTCTTTTGGTTCGTCTGATTATCCCAACCGTTCCAATCCCAAGTTACTCCTATCTTTCCGGTTTTGACATCTTTATGTCTTTTTCTGTTGTCCTGTGTTCCTATGTCGGTCTGCTGTTCGTCTGTCTGTCTGTCTGTCCACATACCTCAGCTCCCCCTGTCGAGCGCCGTGGCGCACATGTACGATGCGCCGCTGTCCGCTGACGGCAAGCTGTACAAGCAGCGGCAGCGACTGGACGCGAAGCACCACGAGCCGCTCTTCACCATCCTGACCAAGGAGTTCAAAGGAACGCTGGACTACATCTTCTACACCACCAGCAGTCTGCAGGTGTGAGGGAGGGCCTACGTACGTCGTGTGACGTAAAGGATGGGCTGGGGTTGGCATAGTCCAGAATGTATAATATCCAGAAGAAGGAAATGGGGGACTTGGAGCTAGCGAGTGGAAGGAGCGCCGGGCGGCAGGATGGCCCCCTCACCTCCTCCACTTACTACCTCCTCGCGCCCCAGTTCATCATAACACCCATCTTGTCACACACACCTGCATACATACGTACGTACGCTTGCGCTGTGTTTCGGCTTTGGCCCCCGGCTATCGCGGCCCACAGTGTAATTTAAGTCATACGTACACCCTACATACGTACACCTACATACATACACCTGCATACATACGCATGCACACACATACATCTACACGCATACATGTACATGCACGTACGTACACACACATACACACACGCCATCGCAGCTCTGATGAATTTAAAACACGCACACACGCACGTCCACCTCGAAACCCATCCGCAGCCCACTGCGATTTTGGAGCTCCCTACGGAGGCGGACGTGCAGACCCGGCCCGAGGACCTGCTGCCCAATCCGCAGTACAGCAGCGACCACCTCGCCATCATGGCAGAGTTCCAATACAAGACGCGGGAGTGACTGCGTGACGGACAACAGCGTCGTACATACGACACATTGCCGGCCGGAGGGACGGGTTTCATGCAGCGGGGACAGCGGCACGTTCAGTGTGAACAGGGCATTAGTCCTTTTTCCGGGGGCGTGCATGGCACTGTTCCGGCATGGCACTATAGGGGGGCCGTTCCGGCAACAGCAGAGCAGGGCGGCAACGGCGGCCGACGGCGGTGGTCAGTGCGACAACCGGTGCGACAACCTGTCTCGGCTTTTACTTGGCCCGCTACTACGACCCGCACCGCTACAGCATGTCTTTCCATGTAAAGCAGCGCCGTGCCAGCATGCATATCTTAACCATACGCGGCGGCGCGCTCTGGGGAAGGGGGACCGCTCTCGGGGAGCTGACTACATGACTTGGGGTCGGACATGGGCGCGCGGCGGCGGAGACACGAGATTGCGAATGAATGAGTTGCTGAGGAGCTGCTGGCGTTGTCTTCCTGCCGAAGATGGTAGTCGGCGCCCTCCCGTCGTCGCGTGCTGCGCACCCCGGCTGGCCTTCCTTGCGATGTGCGCTGCTCACTATACGGTTGCAACTCCTCCGTGACTGCGTTCCCTCGTGGGGCTCCTCTGTCGAAAGGGTGGCGAGCTGGGTGCTGCTTCAGTTGCTGCATCCGGCTGGACGGAAGGTGATGGCAAGATGGGGGGGGCGCGTCAAGGGAAGGGTGGTGGAGAAGGAGAAGAGACGCATATGTTGTGGAGGGGCGGACGGCGCAGAGGTTGCGCCGGCTGACTTTTGGAAGGCGTGGGTGGTGATGGCGGCGATTGGCGAAGGATTGCTGGGGGGCTGGAAGATCCCGGAAAGCTCCTCACGCCTGGCCTGGGCCGGCCATGGCTCTGGCCACTGGGGCACATTCGCTCCGCCACGGCTGTGTTTCGCCCTGACCGGAAAGGGGAGATTGGGAGGAGGGTGGGAGGGCGTCCGGACGACTGGGCGATGGGGAGTGTGTGGGAGAGGAGAAAGCGCGCAGGGTTAGGTGCAGGGGTCGTCGGGCTTGTCGTTACCTTGGTACTCAATTACTGTCACCGCGGCGGCCGCCGCAGTTGCTTTCGCTGAGGCTGCTTGCTGACATCACATATGCTTGCAGGGTCGCTGCGTGCGTAGACTGTGCGTGTGCACGTCTAGGGCCGTGTGCTCTTCTGGGTTGTATGCTCTTCTGGGTTGTGTGCTCTTCTGGGTGTCGCTGCAATGAGAGAGGGGAAAAGGGGGGAAAGCTGGACGCGAGCGATGCCCTTGGTGTTCAAGCCGGCGCTGTAGCACGTACCTGTCTGAAAACAGAAAGGGCCATCGGTGAGCGGGCAGGTCGTAGCGTGTAGGCGGGAAGGAAGGAAAAGGATGGCGAGAGGTGGGGAAGGTCAACGGGGAAAGGAGAACGGAGATAGGATGGGGCGGGGAAGCCTTTGGGCAGCATCCGAGCTCGACGCATTCGACTATGTGCCCTGTGCGAGACGGGTGTGCGCGCGCGCTGTTGTTGCCGGATGGTGATGTTTGCGGCGTTGCGGGTATGCAGGCAGCCAGGAGCTTGGTCGTTGGAGGAATAAGCATGCGCACTTCTTACGAGCCTTGCTATGCCTCGGCAGCAGCACCGGCCTTGATTCTCCTCGGCGCCGCGCTCGCGTTTAGCCAAGAGTTGTGCTCCTGGTATGTGTGCGTGTGAGTGTTTTGTGTATGTGTGCGTGTGTGGACGAGTTCGTATGACGGTAAGGGAATGACCATCCCAAGTCATGCGTCGTGCTTGTCGCACCAGTATGAAGGCTTTTGCTGGTTTGATCTTGTTGCTGAAGGGCTCGCCTTGTCTCTAAACTAGATGACATACGCGGGTTTGTGCTGCTGACGTGGCTGTTGTGACCCATGCATAGACTATCCTAACGAAGTTCGCACTATGACGAGAGCACGACGCTGTGCTAGCGCTTGGAGGCTCCAAGCTGGGATTGTGTTCTTTGCAACACTGGGGCGGACATCATCCTGGAGGTTCACGGCGCTTCATTTTTTTCCCGGGTAACCCGTTTACCGTTGGCGAGACGACGGGTCGGACGCGCGAGGTCGGACTTTCAAGGTGGGCAAGGACTTGCCGACACAGTTGCGTCCGGTTCGGTCTTCTGCATCTGCTTTTAATTCTACTCTATTTTCTGTCTGATAATATCGACGAATAAGTCGCACATTCAACTTGTACGGGAACATCAGTTAAGGTTTGGATCCCTTCTTGAAAGCAGCATACCACGCAGTACTCTCATATTTCATTCATCTCATTAAGCATAGAAGAGCTGCTTCAGTTCGTGGACAGCGCTGAATTCTGCAGAACTACTACAACAGTCGCAACAAAATGAGCTGCTTGACGCAGCGCACGTCCCTCACTAAAAGGGTAAGAGGGTAGAAGTACGTTGCTACTGGATACATTGTCGAGCAAATGCCTTATACAGTAACCACACTAATCGCAGGCCGCACCTTTCACCTCAACGCGAGGAGGGCGCTGTATTCATGGCATTGTTTGCCAAGGTAACTAGATTTGCGCTAAGTCCTCCGATCTGCTCGTCTTGGTGTCCCCCTCATCATGGCCATTCACGCACTTGCAGCAGCGTCGCAACCTCGCGATGGCGCAGAGCTTCGGCAGATGAACGACAAGGACGATCGCAACTCTGGGGTCAAGCTAGTCGATATGACCCGTCGCACACTTGTCCTTGCGCCCTTCTGCTGCGCCGCTGCTGCCGCGGCGATGGTTGGTCCTGCCACAGCCGCTGGCGAAATGCCTGACCCTTCCAACTCCTGCTTTGAGTGTGACGGAACCGGCATTGTCCCTTGTAAGTACGAGCCAATCGTCGCGAACGTATTGGGGTAGCTTACTCCTTGCCGGCACGCGTGGCGAGCGGCGGCTACGTCAGCCACGTACCTATTTGAGGTGTAGGCGCTTACCTTAGCCCGCTAGAGTACCGTTGAGGCATGACACACACGCAGCTGACGCCTCGGAGGTCTCCGATGCCACTTGAGGCTGCCCATTATAATCCAGGCGGCAGGAACGGTGGCCAGATGCCCTCCTAGATCCAAGCTGGGTGCTGAATCCCCCACATCCCCCCCGGCCCCCCATCTCTACCACCCGTAACTCGCGACCGCGTGTCCCCATCTGCCGCCTCCTTTACCTACACAACTCAAAACCGAGAGGCTCCCGTCATCAAAATCCCTTCCCATCCTGTTCCTGTCTTTTTAACCCTAATATTCCCCATTGAAGAATATCCCCGTTAACCAATGCTTAGCTGGTGTTCGGGGTTTCTGTGGACGTCATGGTACTTCCCCCCGATTTTTTTCCTTCCAATACAGAAGTAAATACAGGCATGTTACGAACTCTCCAACCACGCGCCCGCACCAAAACCATTCCAGCTTTGGCTTGTTTGATTGAACGCGATCTAATGTTTATACAAGGAAATGCACTTTTTTTTGTTGCAAGTACTCTACTATGGTTTAATCGTGCTTCTGAGATTGGCATTTTTATATATTGTAATTACGCTAAATACGTACCCACGTTACCCCCTGGCCGGTGTCCTATACCTTTAGCTAACCTGTTCTGGCAGGAACACCTGGCACAGTTTTAACAGCGCTTCTTTCCGCACTTGTTTTCCTCCCACCATCTGTTTGTTACTTCCTCTCCCTGATCCTCCCCCTCAACCTTCTGCACCCCCTTTTTCCGGCACACAGGCGATATGTGCGGCGGCACAGGGAAGTGGCGCGCGTTGAGCCGCAAGCGGGCCAAGGACGAGTACGAGTTTGTGGAGTGTCCGCAGTGCTATGGTCGGGGGGCGCGCATCTGCGGCCGCTGCTTCGGTAAGGAAAATGCCCAACCCCGGAAACCTGTAACATAGTAGATAAGTTCTTTTACGGCATGGGGGCTCGCAGGCCTCTTATTGAGGGGGGTGTGGGTGGGCTGCCATGTCATGTCCGTGTTTCTGAACCCACTAGGTTGGTGTTTGGTTGGCCCGATTTGCGACGACGACATTGGGATCGTTGGGGGGAATTGTTCGGGGGAGACGACCGGAAGGACAGGGAAAGGAACATGCGAGTGGTTTTTACGTGTGTATTCATGTTTATGGATTCAATGGATGGGTTTATATTGGTGTTGACGTCGCGAATGGGCAGATGACATGGCGTTATACATGTGTGGATGTCATCTCTTAAAACCCTAAAACCCAGGCACGGGTCTGCGCAACGTCCGCGGTCTCCTCCGCAAGCCCGAGGCCTCCTTGCTGGTGCAGAAGATGCAGACGGGGGAGCTCAAGCCGGGTGAGTGAAAGATCCGATCTGGATTCCGAGTCGAAAACCCATCCAGGTTTTCCTATCCCGCAGGACCACTACCGCAATAACCTATTTTACACCTTGCAATTATGAAGTCTCAAACCGCCGCAACATCGTCACCATCACCACACGGCCGCAAGGCATGCACACACACGCATGCACACACACGCGTGGCAATTTCCACGTAAGCGATCCAAATTTCCCCGTTTGAACGCTTCTCTCCTAATCAAGACCTCAACCCCCCCTCCGTTTTCCCCCGCCCCCGCCCATCCTAAACCCAACACCCGCAGGTGAGGTGCAGGACCTTCTCCGCCAAGCCAAAGAGAACATGCGCAACGGGGCCGGAGCGGTCTGAGCGGATAGGATCGGGCGCGCGCATCGTCTTACCTGTCATATGCTGTTGCGCGTAGTGCAGTGCTGTTGTGTGTGTGTGTTATGTCCGTGAAAGGGGATCTGTGCGGTGTTGTGTTGAGTATTGAGTGAGGGAATGTTGTTCGTCCAGTACGACAAGGGAGCCGCGTGGGGGTGTTTTCTGGTACATGTGAGGGCACTGGTAACCTGTGAAAGGGGTCCAGCGGGGTCGAGGGGTGATAGCTTTGGGGCTGATAACCTGAGCAGTGGCATGCCTTCAGATTGGAAGAGAGAGGCTGGGTGCGGGGGAGACAAAACGCACGTGCGCACATAGAGCCAGACGTGCGCTGCCGACGTGCGGTGGAAATGTTCTTGTGGGGACATGGACCTTTTCCCTTTGCGCGATATTCGTGGCAGTACATCGTCGTAGTGAATGATGTGGCTATGAAGGTTGGCTAGGCTAGGCTGCGGTGGGCTGGGCTGGGTTGAGACATGAGTTGGGCTGCGTTGTGAGACCGAGCTGAGCTGTTAAGCTAAGCTAGGAAGACCACATGGCAGCGTCGACCGTTCGTGTCCATTGTGCACAATTTTTGGAGGACGAACTGGGATCGCCTGTTCTTGTTGGTTGGCAATGAACTGGAGTCTGCTGTGTCTCTTCTCTATCTTTACATGTGATGTTGGGCTGTTTGTTAGCATCACGTGATTAACATACGTCACGTACAGCGTTGCAATGTGTACATCTCCTGAAGTACACATGTCTCGTACGACGAGGCTGCCCTTTGTTTGTACGCACGGTTTTTCCTCCGACGGCAGTTCAAATTGTTACCTGTTTCATCAGCATAGCTCTCAGCTCGTTGCCTTATTGCACTGCATTAAGGAAGCTCTCACAGAAGCTCACACACATACTCAAGAAGTATCGAGCTAGCACCCAACCCGCAATTCCACAAATGCTGTTTTGTGGAGTGGACCCGCGGGTGAGGGATGTTCGTTAACCGACCGTTAGTCGGATGTTATTGTTGTTGGGCCAATATCGGACCTGCGACACTCTCCACTTGCCATATGATGCACGTGCCCCAACCCCATACCTTACACGTTACAACAGTTAATGGTTAAAATGGTCGCCAAATTTAACAAGCAACAATACATACTCCTGGTATAAAGCCGCATCAAGTTGTGGGTCGGATACGGCAAGTGGAGAGGGTCGCAGGTCCGACATTGGTCCAACGGCGGACTAACCGCCGCCTAACGGTAGCGATGAATACCCCTTTGGTAGACCTTGGAAGCATCATGAGTCATGCTCATCAACAGCAACTATGTGTCGTGTTCGCTGCGCTCCCTGAAAACTTTTCCAACGCGGTTTTCGTCAAGCATTCAACCCCGTTCATACATACATACAAACCAAGGGAGATGCTTAAGCTATCATGTGTTGTTGATAATGTGGCTGTGCGCTGCCCTTGCTGAATTTGACAGTGTTGCTGCTGCTGTTGCCGCTGCTGCTACAGTGCCACAGCTATTGCGTTAGCTGGTGTTGCTGCTGTTAAATTTGCCGCTGCCAGTGCTAGTGGCGGTGGCGGTGCCCGGCTCCTCCGACTCCGCCGCAGGACGCCACTGGCCGCGCTTCCAAACCTGTTCGCAATGATAGTCGGCGAGGGGTCAGCAACATGGCAACGTGGATGTGGAAAGGGGGAGAGAGAGAGAGAGAGGACTTCACCATTGTGAAACTCGACGGGTAGCATGAGCCCTCTGTCCACACCACACACACGCACACACCCATTCTCTCTCTCTTACACATACACAGCAGCAGCAGCACTTGATTCGTCCAGATTCCTCAACACAACATAACCTAACCCTCCCAACCACCATCGTCAATCCCACAATAATAAATGACCCCACTCACGCGCAAAACACATAAACATACGGACGCACCGTTAGCGCCTCCATGAGCCTTAGTGCGTCCGCGGGGCCGCCCCGTACGACAACGCCGTGACGCTGCAGCAGGACCGCCAGGGTTGCGCGGTCGGTGTCGCCCCCACCAAGCTCTTGCGCCTAAGGTGGCATGCACAACGGGTATGGATCTATCCATTTCCTTCCCCCGGCCGCGATAGAGTATTTCTACGGGGGAACTGATCCCGGAGGACATGACGCGACATGACTTTTCCGTATTTCGGAATAGAAAAAGAAATCCAGTTCAGGTCAGGGGACTGTGCACGGTGCGAGATGTTACCAGGTATGTTTCGACGCTACGTCGCTTCCGGTGCTCCAGCGCTGCTTTTTCCTCGGCACCCTCGCCATGGTCACTTAAAGTTGACGAGTCAGTTGCGTAGGTGCGCTCTGGGATTACAAGCAAGTCAGAAGGACGTGAAACAACCGCTGCGCGGAGTCCTGCCGGAAGCTGGCGCAGCAGCTGCGCGCTCCTGCCCTTGCTCGCAATCATCGCGCGTGTTGCGCGCTGAAAATCCCGGTCTGTTGTCAAATGCTCACGTGTCCAGTCGCTGGGATTGAAGTGACGCAAAGCTGGGCAGGCCGTTCAGGACTCTCACATTGCCTTTTTATTTCTGATGGATCCTTCTTCTGTTTCAATGAAATGCTTATGGAAACATTTGAGACAACGAAAGGAAGCTCACGGCAACTTAGTAATGCGTATTCTCCCATGGAGAGTTACGTGCGGGGTGCTCGAGAATCAACAGTCAACTGCTATGAAAACATACTTGCAAAACAACGTTGATACTTTGCTCAGGAAAACTCGTCACACTGTATTCTATACTCCATCATGAAAAGCGCTGCAACATAGCCACTGCACTCTCTGCCTTACGCTCCGCGGCCATAGCAGGCAGCCTCTCGCAGCGCTGTCTTATGTTATCCAATCCCTGATGACGATAGGCTCTGGTGGGCGAAAACGTCAGTCGCTGGTGCCGCACACGATTCGCCAGTCAGACCCACCATCGTGCAGAGGACTCATTTGCGGTATTACGCGTTTGTGCTGGTCCGCCTGCATTCCTAAAACAAGCATACTTACCTGGCCCGCTTCTCGAGGTGGTCAATATGGCCTCGGTTGTATGATCGGTCTTCGCCTTGCACTTCGCGAGGGCCTTTCGTAGTCGGCCCTTCGGGTGTCCGGCAGGGCTAAATTTTTGTCAGGCTGAGGATTTGCGCAACGCGCGACCTCGGCACCCATGAAACAAAATTCCAATAACCATGCAATAAAGATGTAAGTCTATAATTAATTCTAAGATGGCTGCAACATCTGGGTTATGGGAAATGTTGGGGAACGCGCGATGTTGCTAACAGTGTTAAGCCCCCCTTCTCCTGGCCATTTCCTTGCCTATAGTGGCCCCTAGGAATCCGGCGCAGGGGAACGTCTCCGGTTGCATGTCTGCTGTCCGGGCCGTGGTACGGGATTTGCTCTTTGCCTTGATACCGTTTTAGGGCCTTCGCTAGCATAGGGTGTTTGGGTTATCATGCGGGCAGGACCTAATGCCGGTGATCTCTGCCCGATCGCCGACTCACTGAACATCACAGCAGTTATTCAGCAATGTTTGCGTGTATAGGCCGACTCGTAGAACCAAATTTCCCTCCTGGACGTTAACGGGAGATATGCTCATGCTAATCACAGGGTGGCGAAGTACCATGAGCATCGCGCGTATCTGCGCCTACTAACGCTAGCAATTCACAAATATAGCATAGAGAAAGTCGCACGCAAGCAATGTGCCGTATCATTGCGAATTTCCTGCTTGACTAATGTCTACTAGCTCCAACAAATAGACCAGGGAAGCAGTCCTCGCATTCGAGGGCTGGATACCACTCTCACACAAGCAGCAGGAAGTGGATGTGTAAATAAGCGTTACGATAAGAACAGCAGCAGCTGCAGCTGAGTCTTCTTTCGTCATTTGCGTTTGGCATTTCTATAGGCTCGCCACCCAGCGTTTGTTACCTCCCAAGACACATATATCATGTTTATCATGTTGAACCACACGCGCAGTTCCCATCACATATATTACCATAAATGCGTAAGAAACGCCAAAGACGCAGCTGCTATAACCAGGCCTGCGCATGTGCAACAACAAAACGCCGTAAACAATAATCACCGCCGTTTCTGCCCTTTGGCCCCCTTGCGCGACCCCTCTGCGGATAGGCCACCTGCAGATGTAACATCGCCACCACCACCACCACCACTACCGCACAAGGCTGATGACGAGGACAGCGTGACCTGTAGCTGTTGTAACGCTTGTTGTAACGCCCGCGTCTGCCCCGCATCAGCCACCAACCCTGTCAGGAGAAACAGCCCCGCGCCCCCCGCCAGCACCAGTACGGCAGCAGGCACCAGCTGACGCATCACAGGGTTGACTGTACGGCCCATGTACGACATCGCAGGCTCGAAGAAGCAGAGGAGCAGGGCCTGGGCACGTTGCACATCGACATGAACGCGGGTAGCTTATAAAACGGTTTCGGGGTCGAAATGGTCAAATGTGTTGAATCGGGTGGTTAGTGGATGACGGAGTGCTCGTGAAGGGCCGGAGGGGAGGCGGTCGAGGGGGCGAGGACAAACCCTGTTGGGGTTTCAGAAAGGGGCAAGACGAATCGCTGACGATTGAAGCAGGCACCAGAACTCCAAAAAATCCTTAGGAAGGGGGTGGGGAGGGGTTACTGGATTGGATGAGGAGTTTTGCCCCCCATGAGTCAGCGAAATGCAGCAACAGCCGCCTCCTTACTACCAGAACATACATCATACATGTACATGTACATCACATTCGCGAAGTACCCACATGCAATCAACCACCATCTCGCCCTCGATAGCGCCGTACCTGTACGGCCATGATGACCGCAAAGAGCACGTGCCCCGCTGATGCTTGTGCGGCTCGCTGCGCGCCCTCCTCCAGTACCCCTAGGGCCGCCCGAAGCAGTGCAACACGCCGCGCTGCAGCTCCCGCTTGCTGCTGGTGCTCCGGAGACAATGGCTCGGCGGGTGCTGCTGCTGCTGCTACTGCCGCAGCAGCAGCAGCTGTAGCTGACGGCAGCTCCAGACGGACTTGTACGGCAATATGGTCGGAGAAGGAGTGGCCTTCGGGTGTTTTCTGGAGGGGCGCGTAAGAGGGGGGGAGGGGGAAAGACGAATCACACACGAGTGAAGCTGCTGCCAAGGGGGGAGGGGGAGGGGGAGGGGAGGAGGTTAAGACGAACCACAAGGGGGGAGGCGTTTGTAGAACGTGTGAGACAGGAGGGGAAACAAAGAGTACGGTCGTAGTTTCAAAAACGTGGGCGACTGACGGCGGTATAACTATTAGCCCGGACATTATCACTCACACCCACCCCCATATTACCTTTACCACATGCCACCTAGATTGGCACCAATACCTTCAAGGAACGAACCACCAAAAGCTATCAGTTATCAGCTGCCAAACGACCAGTGCATGATCCTGCTCCCACCACAGACCGCCGCCAATGCCGCGGGGGCCGTTTTCAGGGCTTCGGGGTTTTAGCCGCTCCCACGACCAACAACTCCCAACCAAACCAATCACCGCCTTGACTCCCACCACTTAACCAACTCCCCTCCCCAGCAAAAAAGAACCCAAACCCTACTCTCATCCTCCCTCCCACCACCACCACCACCTCGGTCTCACCTGGAGCGCTAGCTCACAGGCTACCACTCGAAGAGTCGTGAACACGTAGTCGATGCGGGAGGGCCGCTGCCTGCGGGGCTTGAAGCTGCTGCAGTTCGCATTGCAGGTGTGGCCCGCAGCATCGGCCTCGGATGGGTCCCCTAGCGACCCATGGGTCTCTAGCCAGGCGTCTTGAAGGCGGGGCAGGAGAGCCTGTTTAGGCAAATGGGAGGTTTATGACGTGCGCCGGTGTGCCGGTGTGTGTGGTGATGGTGGTGATGGTGGTGGTGATGGTGGTGATGGTGGTGGTGATGGTGGTGGTGGTTAGGGTTTGACGAGGGAAAGACATGAGAATGCAGTCGTTGATTGTTGTTAGTTTCCGTTGGTTGTTGCAATTCCCCAGGAAGGGACCTACTCCAGGGGTACGTCAGTGACCGGGGCAACGGGGGGCCCGATGCTCAAGTTCCCTTCGCGAACCCCTTACGGCCCAAAACCCTGAAACCCTAAAACCCCAGACTTATAAACCTCAACTCGCCACAACTAAAACCCGATGCAGCTAGGACCACCCCGATGCGAGCTCACCTCTCCCCAGAGCAAGGAGGTCAAAAAAAACACATGCCATCGCAATTACCGTTAATAGCCGGTAACTGTCCTCTTAGCCGTCCAAGGTCCCCCAACCCCACCCCACACGCCCCCCTCCGCAACACCCCCCCGTACACACACACACACAATACCCACACAGGCACCACCTCCCACTTCACACACTCCTCAATTACGACACAACCACCAACCGACACACTAACCACCCGCACCCACCATCCCACCCACCCGCAGCACATGCGCCTCCAGGGTATGAGGTTCGCAGTTCAAGTCGCCTCCAAGAACCACCCCCAGTGGCCTGCTACTGCCGCCGCTGGGACTGGCAAGCGAGCTGGTGACGTGTCGTACGAAACGGGCCAGCTCCAGAACCTGACCAGTGGTCCAAGAGTGGACATGGTCAAATTAAATTTGAATGAATTACTTTTAATAAATAAAAATGAGACTTACAGAAGAAATTGATGCCAAAGCCAATGATGTCCATGCAGCGGTGGTGGTGGCTCATACTCGGGGGAGACGGGCGTCAGAAGCCCGGAGGAAGGCCCGGAGGGGGACTAAGAGGGGCACAAGAGAGACAGAGAGAGAAATGCCGCCATTGTGTATGTAGCAACTTGGGTTGCTGTACTGTTGTACTATTGTACTGCTGACTCACGTTATCGCGATTCCCTGTTGAAAGGAAAGAGCATACCCACCCAGCGAAATCGGCGCCATAAAATTTGTTACATCTCCTCTAAATAATTCTTGCCGGTAGATCAAATAGCCGATAGGGCTGATTTGTAAATGTGCGTTCCGTACAATAGGTACGGCAACGTAATTCCCCACATGCGCACCTGGGCCATTCGGAACGCTGCAAACTCGTCCACAGCGGGCGGCGGAATGCAGTCGTGGTTCGGCGCACCGGGACTAGCAGCACCTCGGTTGCCGTACTGCGCCCCTGTACTGCTCCCGTACTTGTGCGAGTAATTAGCGTGCAGGTGCGTATTGAACACGTCCAGCGGACCGGAAGGGGTCGCCAACCGGGTCCAACCAACACCTGTGTGCGACAAAAGTACGACAGTACGACAACACGTTGTCATATACGACATACGTACCTAAGTACGGAATTCCTGCGGTAGCGGATGCTATCCGGCTCTCTCTTATCATACCCGCACCCGCTCGAGCCCGCACCCGCAGCACCTCAGCAGTACAACTCAAACTCATCCCCCGCCCCTCCACCATCGGCCCCAGCCTCACAGCCCGTCCCGTCCCCAGCCCCACCTTTCGCAGCGAGATAGTCACCACAATTGATGGAGGCCGGATCACCTGCGGCGAGGAGGTGGAGGAGGGGGGGAAGGAGGTGGAGGTTGGGGAAAGACGAACCAACGAACGAGTGAAACTGCTGGGAGGTTGGGGGAGCCCGGTGCCGGCCCCGCTTTTCATTGACCGAAAGAATGAAAGATATCAATTAACCCCCAATACGAATAACGCATAACGGCCCGCGCAACCTTCCAAAACGCAGACATACATTTAGACAGACAGACCTGGTACAAGTTCACAAACCGCAAGTTCACACCCGCCACCCACCCGCACACTGGTACTGATGAAATGCGGCTTCCACTATGGGGTACCTGCGGTGAATGGAATTTGTGCAACAGAGCCAGAGAGTGTACGGTCAAGCTGACTGAAGAGGGGGGGGGAGCGATACGAGGCAGGGGGGAGCGATACGAGGCAGGGGGGAGCGATACGAGGCAGGGGGGAGCGATACGAGGCAGGGGGGAGCGATACGAGGCAGGGGGGAGCGATACGAGGCAGGGGGGAGCGATACGAGGCAGGGGGGAGCGATACGAGGCAGGGGGGAGCGATACGAGGCAGGGGGGAGCGATACGAGGCAGGGGGGAGCGATACGAGGCAGGGGGGAGCGATACGAGGCAGGGGGGAGCGATACGAGGCAGGGGGGAGCGATACGAGGCAGGGGGGAGCGATACGAGGCAGGGGGGAGCGATACGAGGCGTGCCGCTACAACTCCCAGTCTCAACCTACTCCTTAACCTCACCCATCTACCCACCAACTACCAAGCACCAGCTGTAGCACGAAGCCTCCCTCCCAGCTCTCCCCCTCTTCCCCCTGGTCCCTACATCCATTTCCCCCAACCCACATCCTCCCTACGACTTCCCACCTGGACAGAGTGAGGAGTCCGCTTCCGAAAACACCGGACCGGAAGTGCATGCAGTGGCTCAGACCCCCCTGCTCGGCGGCTGAGGCAAGGATGCGCACGTCGGTGTCCACCCAGACCTCCTGGAGAAGAACCACGTCCTAGAGTAGCAGGGGGTTGGGGTGGGGTCGGGGGAGAGCGGGTGACAGTGCGCGCTTTGCGGCAAAAAACGCGCAAAAAACGCGCTTAGCGGCAAAAAAGAGAGAGCAGGCAACGTCAGAATGCGGGGGATGAAGCTGTGTGCATGAGGTGGGTTAGATAGCGTCTTTTGAGGTTGACTGGAAGGGGACCATGGAGGCGTTAGTAGGGAGCATCGTAAGGGGTCTCCTAAGAGGGTTGTATTGGCTGAGGGTCGGGGGATCGGGCTGACGCACCCTAAAGCTACGTAATGGCGGCCCATAGGCATTTCCATGCATAGGAATTAGACTGCTGGCCACGAAACGATGACGTTAGCTCCAAAAGCACTCGTGTGTGGGGACCATTACTAACAACATGGACCCCCTGCTTACCAGCTTGTGCTTTTGTTGCGCATCATTTGCGAGGAACTCCGCCAGGTGAAGAATTCTATTGTAGCGTTTCTTGGATATCAGCCAAAGACCCCACGTATTGAGGGTGAGGATTTGCAAGGGTGCCATCTAGCAGAAATAATTGGAATCCCCTATAATACTGTCATAGAGGATATCATCCATAACATTACTCCGTCAACGTTGTCAAATGATTCCAACTGTTCGACGTCACAAGGCGAAAGGGCCAAAAGCGCCCATGTGACCGGATGGAAAGTCGTTGTACGGCAAGTGAGTTTTTTGGAAGCTTTTGGAATCATAGTTCCTGACAAGACAATAATCAAGACGATGATGACAGAATGTGAAATACCTGCTATAGATTGCAATAGTTGCTTGTTGCATGTTTGTAACAATAATTTTGGTGGAGGGTAGTAACGAGATTGGCGATGCAGGCGCCATGATCCTTTATGGATCGATTGCAGAGAAGCGTGAAATGAAGGAATGAGAGGAAGATGTGTATGTGCGAACGAAGCGAATAGCTAGTTGGCAGGTTGCAATGTTGACGGGCTGTGAACTGCTGTGGGGCTGCGGGTGGTGGACAGCTGCCAGATGTGGAAGAGTATAGAAACGAGAACACTGGAAGTCCCGGTTTTAATGGGGGGAATGCGGCAGATCGGCGATTGCTGACCCAGTCCTTGCACGTGCCGCTGTCGTGGAGGGGGGGCACAGGCTCATCTGGTTGGACGCTCTTTACCATACAGGACCCCTTGGCACGGCTAAAGTACAACATGCAACTTCCACACGAATTATTAGTTCAGCAACTTTAAAGGACTAGATAACTGATTTCGTTACAGGAGCTCGACGAGATGGAAAACCCTAAGGAAACTGTGCTCCAGTTCACCGCGTCCCACCGGTGAACTGGAGCACCTATAAGAAATTGCACCTATTTGGGGAGAGATGAGTTTGCATAATTGTGTGCCTTCCGAACACCACCCAAACCGAGGCATGACTTAAATAGTGATCATCCTCGAAGCGACCATACATGAAAAGTGCAACTTTAGCGCTGGGTCTGTATCGGTATGGAGGGTCTGGGGAGATGGAGTGGGTCAACAACTTGGGCCGAGTGGCACGGGGACCGATCAACACACTATGCCGCATGGCCGCACACTGGGAATGGTGGTACTAGTTTCCCTAGGATTTTGGCAAGGAGAAAGATTTTATGATGACATGCGAAAAAGGATTTCATTTGTCTTAAGTGCGACTTACGGCATGCGGTTTCCGCTGCACGGCAAATGATTTCACAGCAAGGCACTTTGCGTTGACCAATGTTGCTGCCAGGACAACAAGCTAGCGTAAGGGTTCTCAAGCTTAACAGGTTACCAAATGCGAAACCCGATGCTCAAAACAGCCGTGCAGGCCACAGGTCCATGTGCGAATGCCGTTGCGCGGAAAGCGCCTAAAGCCTGCGAGCTCTTCCGTACATGAGTGATTAGTGTATGCTGTGCATGTGTGAATAATGCAGGTTAACCGTTATCGAGAAGTTTAATCCTTTAAGCAAAAAAAGGGTTCAAGGGCAGCGGTTCCCGGAACGGTAACCTCCGTACCACGGTTCTTGTAGGCGTTGCAATCAACCTAGAGTTTCTAGCGTAGTTTAAGCACGCAGCTTAATTGATTACTTCTGGTGGATATGCCCAGTTTTGGGCATTACGGCCTCCAAGTCCCCTCCGACGTAACTGAATTGCAGTTAACAGTGATTGACTTATGTATGTATCTTGAGATCTATTAAATGACAGTTCAGTATTGTATTGGAGTATGGCGAATAGCTTGGTGACATAGAGCAGGAACAGGGCGCGGCTCGTTGGAGCTGATCGCCGGTTAAATGGAGCAATAATCATGTCCATATACAAACACATATTTGACAGTATGTTGAGCTTATGAGGCAGAAGTAATCGACACCTTGAGCTCGTCGGAGATGGACTTGCAAGCTGTGGCGCCTGGGGGTGGGCATCGCGTGCGGCTAAAGCTGTTCGTCAAAGAGGATTATGAGCCTCAAAAGGTCTGTGGGTTCGACCAAATATACGTATTCCGCCAAGCCCTCCAACTTGGGCGGGCGCATGGCTCTCTAGTCAATTATCGCTGCTTTTCAGCAGGCAATAAACAACTTTTTGCAACATCTTCGACACGTTATGGTGTGAGGGTTACACCACGTTTGCGGGTTTTCCCCTTGTGGTCAATCACACAGCGCATGCCGTCCAGAAACCTGCGCTGCTCCGCGATCTGACCGACATCCTCATCAGGCCCCTATGGGAAGCACCCCCAGATCCAGACCAGACATGCATACGTACATACACACATGCACGCAACGTTGCGCAACGTGTGACGACCCTCCTCGTCCCAATTTTCCACCGAGCCGTTGGCTCAAAGCCCGAGAGATGCCTCTTGTCATACTTAACACACGCCGCGTGTGGGGTTATCCCCCGCCCGAACACTCCCCCATCCCCGCATTACCCCCCTCCCCTCCTCCCCACTTTCCCGACCCGCTCCCCAAGCTCTACAGCCACGCAACCTCACAACTGACGCACCTAACCCTCGGATCGTACTTGCACGCATTCTGTTGATCTGGGTTTTGTCCCCTGCCGACCCAATACCCCCCACTCCCCCCCACCTGCTGGGCCATGCGTGTACGACCTCACTCGCATCATTTTGGCGGTCTTCTGTAACATCATCATCATGCTTCTATTTCAATACGACAAGCACAATCTTGTGACGTGCCTTCTCCCATCAGCGCCCCCTTTGCGATAGCCACATGCCAAAGTGGAGGTGCTTCCAGATGGTACGGAAAGCACCTCCTTGGCGACAGCCATCGTTTCCAAGCCCATAGCCCGCCTAAGCGACCCGTGGGTCTGTCCCTTCCTTCCCGCCATGATGATGTTTCCAGGTTTGTGAGCTGCACGTTCCCCCTGGATGCGATTTCAAGGAGCTCCATGACCTGGTGTGCGATACCATACTGGGTGAGTGCGTGCGTGTGTGTATATGTGTGTGTATATGTGTGTGTATGTGTGTGTGTGGAGGGAACGGGTGGAAGGGGGGACGGGTGCATGTGGGGAGGACGGGGGAGTTATGGGGTGATGAGAAGGGTGGGGTATGGGACTGTTGGGCGGATACCTGGCTGGACTGGCCCAGGCGTGGATGTATGTGTGTGTGTGCGTGTGTGTGTGTTTTGATTCTCATTTCCCCCCGGCCCCCTCCGCCCTTTACCTCCTCCCGGCCGCCACAGGCGGAGAGAATGAGCGATGGAAGCTTGTGAAGGAGGACCGCACACCACATCTGGGGCCAAACGGCGGGGGACACATCGAGATCACGCAGGTGGGTGCCGTACACAAACTGCTAAAGCCGGCCTAATGCCGTACAATACGTAGGTGACGATTATGGTGGGGAAAGATGGTGGTGGTGACGGTGGTAATGTCGTGGGACCCGTGCGGGTTATTACAACCGTCAGGCAGCACATTGTGCCGTGCCCCTCAACCCCCCCCCACCCACCGCATCCACCTCACCCCACCCCAAACGGCCCAATCATCGCCACCACCACCCCACCACCACTACCGTCACTACCAACGCCACACCACCATCTCCAACATCTCTCTACGCACCCCCACACTTTCCTTACCTCCCCTCCGTAATTTTCCCCCGTCCAGGAGTGGCAGAGCAAGGCTGCCGACTTGCTGACTCATCCCGCGGATGACGCATGTCCCGTCCATTGCCTGGAAGAATCAGAATTGCGAGGTGCGGGGTTTGGGGGCTTTTGGCGGGAGGGGCAGCACCTGGGAGACACATCCCGCAGCTGAAGGAGGGGGAGGGGGAGGGGGAGGATGGGGAATGGGACGGGAAACATAATACACACATACGCACATATACACAGGTGCTATAAGGTGATAAATCGTAGAATTGACAATGTGATAAAGCGGCCCAGAAGCCTCCCACTCTGTAACATTAACATTATACACAGAGAGCCTTTTCCCACAGAGCATTTCATTCTCACCCTCATCGCACCCTTTCCCACCTTTTCCTCCCACACCCTCCGACCCTTTCTCCCCCCCTTTCCCACTCCCCTTCCCTTCCCCTGCCCACCGGGGCTCATAACCCCGCGGTTCCCTGACACAGGTGGTGCGGATGTGTACACAGTCATGCTGGGTGAGGTGGCCCGACAGCCCATTACCTCTCAACAGGTGGGGAAAGGAAGGGGGGGAGATAGGGGGGAAGATAGGGGGGAAGATAGGGGGGAAGATAGGGAGAGGGGGGGAGATAGGGGGGAAGATAGGGGGGAAGGTAGGGGGGAAGGTAGGGGGGAAGATAGGGGGGGAGATAGGGAGAGGGGGGGAGATAGGGGGGAAGATAGGGGGGAAGGTAGGGGGGAAGATAGGGGGGGAGATAGGGAGAGGGGGGGAGATAGGGGGAAGATAGGGGGGAAGGTAGGGGGGAAGATAGGGGGGGAGATAGGGAGAGGGGGGGAGGAACCGGCACCTTATCACAAGGCTCATGACGAGTTCTTGCTGTTTAAATGAAGGGGAGAGGGCTGGTAAACAAGAATTTAAACATGTACAATACTAAAATTTACTTTACAATAGTTTAAAATAGTTTTTGCGGACGTTAAAAGGAACAAATTGCTGCTTAATTAGGGGGAAGGGAAGGGGGAGGAGAGTGTTCTTTGCGTTTCCTTTTACTCTTCCACGCCGTACTAACTTCCCTAACTTCCCTAACTACTTAAACTTTTCTAACCACCCTAAATTCCCCCCTGTGTGCCCTCTCCAGGAGCTGGCTGCTTGGTGGGCCTCCCATCCCCGGCCCGGGCCGCCCCTGCTGGCAGCCACATGCGCCCGCCTGCTGGCCAAATTGCGAGTGGCGCCGTCACCGTTGGCGCCAACTGCCGCCGCGGCCAAGCTGGTTTCGGAGGGTCTGGCGGGGCTGCGGGAGCTGGCCACTGACCGTTGGTACGGCAATCGACTACCGTTGGATCTGTTGGAGCAGGGACTGCTGGCGGCGATGCGGTGAGGCGGGGTGGGGATGGGAGGGGGAAATCGGGGGATTGCGTCTGTTTGGGGAGGTATGCGGAAGGGGATGCATGCCGTACCAAACCCCCCGAATGAGGAGGGGGGAATTCGTACCCATGGAGATGGAGGGAGCACCAGACATGTGTAGACACATACATACACACACATACACATGCGCGCGCTTTCCCCACACACGCTGATTGATTTTGTATTATTGAAAAAACAGTTATAATTTTATTGTTATACTTTAAAGTTGTTAAACCTTACCACTTTTACGCCCGGGAGAGCAGGTGGGAGCAGCATTTGCCGCCCGGAAAACCGGAGGTGTTGGCGGGGATTTTGGAAGCCGCCGCCGCAGCGGTATGGGCGCTGGCGTCGTATGGCGGGCCGCGCAGCGTGCTGGTGGGCGCGGGTGTGGTTCCGGAGCTGATCGCGGCGCTGGGTAAGGCACAGGCATGGCGCAAGGCGGCGATCGCGCGTGGGGAGGCTGTGGCGGCGGCACGCCTGGAGGTGCAGGTACGGCAGACGGAGGCTGCGGCGGCGGAGTTGGCGGCGGCGGTGGCCGCAGCCGCGAAAGCCGAGGCGGCGG